CCCTTGTAGAATTCTCCATAAACTTGGAGACTCTGTGTGTGTCTGCTACCCCAGCAGATGATGAGCTCCTTGAGAGCAGTTGCTAATTTATCTTTGTATCTATAATGCCTGGTCCTTCATAGGTGCCCAGAGCTGTGTCCAGCAGAATGATGGAGTTCGACCGTGGTGCCTTCAGATCAGTCCCTGTGGTAGCTGGGAAGATTATGTTGGCTTGCCTTAATGGCTTTTGAGGAATTTTTTAAAATTTATCAGAGAACCCTTGTAGAGAACCTGGGGTCTTAAGAAAGCAAGCAAAAAAACACTGTGGCCAGTGAGGAAAGAAAAAGGAGTCCTCCAAGGAAGACGGTAAGAGGTCACTTCCCACAAAGAGCCAGCAGACTTCTAAGGGACCTGGCTCATCCTGGCCAAGTCTCCACATTCTTCTCAGTTAAGGAAGTGTCACCAGCAGAATGGAAATGCTCTTTGGGTTCATATTTAGAGTACCTGAAAATAAATATTAATTATGGTATCAGCTGTTGTATACTCAGGAAACTTCTCAGAGATAATTCCAAAAATTAGAACTACAGGAAGAGATGGTGCATCAGAGCTAAGGGACACTTTCCCCCAGTACAATCAGACCAATCCTAGATGGCTGACAAACTCATTCAGGTAGATGTGGATTTTGCAGAAACTTCACTTAGAAGGGATCCTGGTTTCCGTATAAGATAAGCTTGCAAATACCATGGGGGCTTTGCAACAACTGATGGAAGGCTGATGTTTTTCTCCACTGATGCTTTCAGTTCTCTGGGACATGCTTCTCTGTGAGCACGGCCTTGGATGCCATTAATTGTTGGCTCTTCCCATTGTTCACCATTCTCTATCCAGATTACCTCTCTTCTCGCCATTTGGCAGATGGGACTCTGTTCTTACATTATTAACATCACTGTCTGCAAAAAGCAGTTACATATGGAAGGAAGAAAACAGAGCAATGAGATCATGGGCTTTGTCTCTAATTCTGTCACTGACTCCATCACCCATTCAACCAACAAAGGCTGAGCACCTGCTATGCACCACACACTGGGCTGGGCACTGAGAAGAGAAGCATGACACAGGACTCGATGTGAAGAGGGGGAGGCACACAGAAACAGAGTGGAGTGGCTAATACCATGACGGCAACCTGCACAAAACCTTCTCAGAGCACTGGGAAGCTGAAGGAGTATAGGAGGTCCTCCTGAAAAAGACGAGTGCTTAGTCCAGAAGATCCCAGATAGATAAAAAAGCCACAATCATTTGGGATAACTACAGATATATGAATATAAAATACAAATCAAGTAAGATTACTGTATTGATACTAAATTCTTGGATGTAATAATGGCACTGTGGTTATGTAAGAGAATGTCCCGTACTTTGGAGATACACACTGCACTACTCATAGGTGAGGAGTCATGATACCTAAAGTTACTTTCAAATGGTTCAGAAAGAGATGTGCCGATCTGGGTGTGTGTGTGTGTGTGTGTATGTGTGCGTGCAAGCGCATGTATATACATTTATATACATATATATAAATGTATACATACATATATATAAAGGGGGATGGAGGGAAGAGAATATGCAAAATGTTAGTCAATCTGGGTATATATGAACATTTCTTGTACAATCTTTTAGTTTACTGCATTTTTTCAAATTTTCAAAATAGAATATTGGATAGACAATTGTTAAAAATATATGCATACAGGGGTGCCTAGGTGGTTCAGTCGGTGGAGCGTCCAACTCTTGACTTTGGCGCAGGTCTTGATCTCAAGTTTGTGAGATCAAGCTCCACGGAGGGTTCTGTGCTGGGTGTGGATCCTGCTTAAGATTCTCTCTCTGCCCGGGCACCTGGGTGGCTCAGTCGTTAAGCGTCTGCCTTCGGCTCAGGTCATGATCCCAGGGTCCTGGATTCTAGCCCCACATCAGGCTCCCTGCTCCGTGGGAAGCCTGCTTCTCCCTCTGCCACTCCCCCTGCTTGTGTTCCCTCTCTCACTGTCTCTCTGTTGAAAAATAAATAAAATCTTAAAAAAAAAAAAAAGATTCTCTCTGCCTTACACACACACACACACACACACACACAATTGATCCTTGAACAATGCAAGGGTCAGAGACACGGACCCCTGTGCGTTCGAAAATCCATGTATAAATTTTGACTCCCCAAACACTTAACTAATAGCGTATTGTTGACCAGAGTCTTACCAAAAACAAAGTCAATTAACACGTATTTTGCATATTAATATGTATCATATACTGTATTGCTACAATTAAGCAAAGTGGAAATGTTATTAAGAAAAGAAAACGTAAGGGTGCCTGGGTGGCTCAGTTGGTTAAGCGACTGCCTTCGGCTCAGGTCATGATCCTGGAGTCCCAGGATCGAGTCCCGCATCGGGCTCCCTGCTCAGCAGGGAGTCTGCTTCTCCCTCTGACCCTCCCCCCTCTCATGCTCTCTCTATCTCATTCTCTCTCTCAAATAAATAAATAAAATCTTTAAAAAAAAAAAAGAAAAGAAAATGTAAGGCACCTGGGTGGCTCAGTTGGTTAAGTGTCTGACTCTTGATCTCAGCTCAGGTCTTGCACTTACAGTCATGAGTTTGAGCCCTGCAATGGGCTCCATGCTGGGCATGAAGCCTACATAAAAATAAAAATAAAATAAAATAAAATAAAAATAGGGATGCCTGGGTGGCTTAGTTGGTTAGGTGTCCAACTCTTGGTTTCGGCTTGGGTCATGATTTCAGGGTCCTAGGATCGAGCCTGGCGTTGGGCTCCGTGCTCAGTGGGGAGTCTGCTTGAGGATTTCTCTCCCGCTCTCCCTCCCCCCACTCATTCACTCTTTCTCAAATAAATAAATAAAACCTTTTTAAAAAAGAAAAAGAAAAAAGAAAATGTTGCTACAAAAATCATAAGAAAGAGAAAATACATTTACAGTACTGTTCTGTGTCTATAGGAAAAAATCCACATTTGTAAGTGGACCTGCGAAGCTCACACTTGTGTTGTTCAAGGGTCAGCTACATTTATAAAGCTATTACAAGAGCTAAGACTGGACTGGAAAAAGAGAAGTGTGCATTAGTCAGATAATGACAGAAGGGAGGTACCCAAGGGAGAGCTGATGGCTGGAGCATGGGATTTGGGGATGGTAGCTGGTATGCACAAAACCACTCCTGGCCCAAAGGTGACACTCGTGTATATTTATCAAATGAATGAAAGAGTTGAACAGCATCGTTTATGCAGGGAACTGCAAGCAGATCAGACCAAAGTGAGCATAAGGTTTATGTTAAGGAGCGAGAGCCGATTTGGCTATACAGGCAGGGGGTCTGTCATGGAGGCCTTTGTATATTCTGCCAAGGTCCTGGGACTTTATCCTGTGGGCAACGGGAGCCATGAGCAGGAGGCAATGTGGTCAGATTAGCATCTAGAGGGACCACCCTGGCAGTCAGGTGTCATGTGGAGTGATGGAGCACAGACCTCAAGGCAGGAGACAAGGATACCAGTCAGGATGCCTTTGGCTCCCTTAAACACAAAGCTCTGAGTCTAACTGGCTGAATTTATCAAGAGACTTATTATCCAACATAGCTGCAAGCTCTGAAATGACAGGCAGCAGATGTGGTTGATTCAGTGGCTCAAAAATGTAACCACGGACCCAGGTTCCATCCTCTCTGCACTCTACCATTCTCTGTGGGGTCTGCCTGCAGACTGCCTTTCCTCATCTTTACAGGATGGCTGTAGCAGCTTCCAGAGTGATGTGCAGGCACAGTGAAGACCACAGACAGAAGGGAGCCGTTCCTTCTTTGGTCTCTCTCAGCAAGGAAAACTTTTCCAGAAGCTTCCCAGCAAACACTGCCTCACATCCCACTAGCTCAGATTGGATCACAAGCCCATTTCAAAACCAATCACTGTCAAGGGAACAAGATTACATGTTTGGCTCGGAATAAGAATTTATACACAGAGGGAAGGAACTACGATGAATCATCACTTAAAACACTTGGGAGCCTACTGGTCCAGGCAAAAGACGCTGGAAGCCTAAACTAAGATAATGGTGGCAAAGAATGGAGAGATGAGAACAGATTCATGATTTATTTAGGAAGTTATGTTGGTACAATCTGATGGTGGATTGAAGGTGGAGGAGGAGGAAAGGGGGAAAAGGACACCCTCTTCTATAATTCCAGCTTGGATGAATGGGGGGAAGGAAGTGCCATTAACTGAGGTAAGGTACCCACGAGGAGAGCAGAGGAGGGTTTGGGGAAAAGGTGGTTTGGGGCATATTCAACTGGAAGTGCCTGTGGGCTTCAGAATAAAGGTGCTGGGCAGGGAGCGGAATTTAGGACTCAAACCGTTATCCCACACAGGTGGTCCATACTCAGCCATGGTTCTCAAATGGGCTTTGGTCTCTACAGACATTTTTGAACCAATATTTAATCACTGAGAGATTCCAAATAGGATTATATATTTCTGGTTTCTCTGGAAAATCTGGCAACACTGGACCTAAATTGCTGCCTGTCAATAGTCGGTGGAGGCCAGTAGCGGCCATTCTCTTTAGCTAGAATAAGAGGTTCTCTGGCCTGCCACACTCACCCACTATCTCTCTGCCTTTACCTGCTTGGCCCTGAAGCCATTTCCAACCAATACCCGGGAAAGAGGCCTGAGCTGCAGAAACACATCTGGTAGTCACTGGTATTTAGATGGTGGTCAAAGACCTCACTGCGGATGCCGTCACCCAAAGAGAAAGTGGAATGAAATAGGCCAAGGAGGTAATCCTGGAGCCATCAGTGTTTTAGAAGTGGAGGAAGAGAAATTCACGCTGGAGACAAAAACAAAGAAACTGGAGCGGAGCGAGTGAGCGCGAAGTCTCAAGAGCTAAGAGAGGAGAGCTAAAGTTGGAGGGAGGGCTCTCCTGTGCCACATGCAACAGGACATCCAGGGAAGAAGGATCCTAAGGAGATGGGACATTGGGGAAGTAAGTCGTGGGCGGCCCAGGAGCCTAGCTGTGTGGCACAATGAGGGAAGAGGCAGACAGCATGATGTGCATGGGCTGCTCAGGTGAGAAAGGAGGAGTAAAGCCGGATGAAACTAGAGAGGCCATGGGGTCAAGGCACGGTCCCTTGGCAGGATCAGAGACACTTGGACATTGTAAAGCGAAAAAGAAGCCAGGAGTGAGATGAAGGCCAGAGAAATCTCACAGAGGGATGAACAACAGAACCAAGCCCAAAAGGAGGTAGTGGGGGCAGGGGAACAAAAGGGTGAGACATAGGTGGCTGGATTCACTGCAAAAATGAGAGGCCTCCAAGGCTAGTGGACTGGAGGTGATGATAAATCTGGAAGCAGATGGGTGTGTTCAAAAACTTGAGAGCTGCGGTGACTTGTGGTACCCCAGCCTGGAATCTGCTTGAGATCCTCTCCCTCTGCTCCTCCCCACCCCCAGCCCTGTTTGTGCATTCTCTCTCTCTCTCTCAAATAAATAAATTAAATAAATCTTTAAAAAAAAAAAAAAAGAAAATTGAGAGCTAAGTCATCACCGAGCCTGGCGCTGGCGGGGGGCAGGGGGCTGCGTAGCAGTAGGGGGGAACCATGGGTTCAGGGACACACCAGCCCAGGACCCCCAACCAGAGCCGGAACCTGAGGAGGTGCTAGACCTGAGCCAACTGCCACCTGAGCTGCTCCTGGTGGTGCTGAGCCACGTGCCCCCATGCATGCTGCTGTGCTGCCAGATACACGGCGGCTGGCGTGCCCTGGTGCACAGCCAGGCCCCGTGGCCACTCATGCTGGCCCGGGACCACCGCGCTCTGTTGCTGCTCAACCACAGCGGCCTCTACTTCTGTGAGAAAGCGCAGATGGATCGATGCAGCCTCAGGTGTAACCCCTGCGGCCAAGAAGGCCTCCAGAAATGGATGGTGCAGCATGCTGGGGATGGCTGGGTGGTGGAAGTGAACAAGTCAAGAGGGGCTAGAGCTCCCTTGCAGAGCTGCTTTGTGTCTTCCTTCAGCGGATGTGGCAAGAAGCAGGTCTTAGACCTGGAGGAGCAGGGTGTGTGGCCAGAACTGCTAGATGGTGGCAAGATTGAGATCTGTCAACCAGACGGTCCTGAGTAAATTCTCTGCTAGGCCTGATCCCGACCAGCAGTGGAACAACAATGTCCGCTTTCAGGTCACTCACATGTTCTCCATCAAGATGGGCCGGCCACTTTGAGTCTTTCGAACAGTGGGGCCAAGACATGCAGCTCTGGGCTGGTCGCTATGGAGCCCGTGTGATCAACTGCAGGGTGATCATGCCAGCCTGTGTGTCTTACTCAAGGGCTGTCCTCACCAAACAACCTAACTGGGACCTTCCAGCACCTGGGATCATTGGCCAGGACTTCTCATTAACCAAGGACATGTACTTCCCTGACATCCTGGGTACTCCAGAGTCCATTCAAGCATTCTTCTGGGCACCTTCTTCAGCTTCTGGAAACTACTACAAGAAAGTTCTTCCATCAGATCTACCTACTGCTGTTGAAGGGCAGTCCTTCCCCTGCTGGGGGTGTGGAGAGGCAACAGGTGAGCACAGAGGAATGCTGGTCCTGGAGAGGGCTCTTTGCCCTCCCCCACTGAGGCCCTCTGATTCAGCCTCAGTCCCCTCTGGCCTTGTCTCCTCGTGTGTCTGCTTCAGGGGCTTCATTGGTCCCTTGAGGGAAGACCTCTCACCTCTGAAGCAGAATCTCATCCTTAGAGCTGGGACAAACTGGGTGACAAACTTAACCTCCTGGAGCTTCAAGACTGGGACCAGGTCTCGTGGCTCAAAGTCAACTCGCTCAAAAAATGTTTAGAGATCCTCAAGAACTGTAATCATGTGGTGTACAAAACTATTTTTTATTTTGAAATTTTTCACAAACATTGAGAGAATAAAATACATCAGCAACAACTATCTGCCAACCACATGTAATAAATTTATTATTTTGCCAGAAAGAAAGAAAGAAAGAAAGAAAGAAAGAAAGAAAGAAAGAAAGAAAGAAAGAAAGAAATTTGAGAGATACTAATTGACCTGGCACAAGGGAGGACTCAGTAACCCTTCAACGAGATGCTCCAAGGTGCCAATCCTTTTCCATTTGGTATGAAGGATGGGATAGGGTGGGAAGAGTGGAGAGGCCTATCTCCCCAGCAGCAATGGTAGAGGACAGAGCCAGTTTTTAAGCCCTGGGAAGCAGAGTTCCTACCAGCAGAGAGAAAGCAGCACACACTGATCATCATTCTCCTAGGGGAAGACAGAGGCACCAGCTCTAAGGATAGAGGGGAAGGATCACAGCGACATCCACAGCCTCTGGGCCATCTCTGCTGTGCACCCTGGTTTGGAGGAATGTTTGCCCTCTCCTCTATGCTTAACTCATCACAGAAGTGCCTGACATAAAGAAGAGGGCAGTCAATGTAACTCGACTCACGCAGGGGTGTCGACCGACTGTAACACCGATACCTCTGAAGCAAATGAGCACAAGGTTCTGTGTGTCGGACGTTACAGTAGGCCTTGGCGCTACCCTTACTCAAGGCCCTCAGGCTTCCTTCCAGGAGGTGTCTGCCAAAACAATTTTGGTAATGAGAAAGCATTTTGTGGTATTTTTCTGAGGAAATGCTCTATCCTGGGGAGTCAGAGAGATTCCAAGGCAATGGATTCCGAGGGCAGCCCACTGTTGAGATCAAGGTTGTCATTATGACCAACAACACCCTTCCTGGTTTGGGGCTGCAGTGTCTACAGGGCTGCCTGAGGCCCCAGAGTTGGGGCTGGGTCTTGGTGGCCCACATTCCATTTCCCACAGTGGGAGCTCTGAGGAGCAGGGACAGTTTGCCACAACTCACCCTTGCCATCCAGTTCAGTGACTTTTACCCTAAATTGTGGGTTAACAGGGACAGAGGTGAGGGGTGACACCTAGTAGCATCAGTGAGCAATCCCCAGCACTCGAGCAGGCAACGGCCTTCCCTCTTCCTTTCCTCACCACATTTTAATAAAATTTCCCAAGCATAATTATTTCAATGTCTGTCTTCTGTGTCTTATTTATTTTATGGTGGAGTTGCTATGAGGCAGAAACAAACAAACAAACAGAAAGCACTTTTAAAAAATGCAGGAGAAATATGCCCGCACAGGTCACTAACTTGACATTAGGCATCCCCAGAAGAACTAAGATTTAACCGACATAAAAATCTCATGTCTTAAAAGCTCTCTCTGATCTTAAAAATACTATTCTGGTTACAGCCCTTCCACTGGAAAAAATCAGTATTCTGTAATTCCTTCTACAAACTGGGGGCATTAAAATAGAACCAGGGTTGCAAGAGGGAGGCATGGCAGCGTCATTTCGCCGGTTTTGAATGATGTACTTCAACCCACCGTGCATTTCCCCAGAGGGGACGGAGAATATCTTTCAAGAACATGCTAAACACCCATCTGTCAGAAACAATTTTTGGGTACTGAGGTGTAGAGATGGAGAAGAGAACACACCATCCCTTGGGGCTCGTGCCTGTGCAGAACAGTTCTGCCTCTGTCTGATGCCTGTCCTCATTATCTTTGATCATGCCCCTGCTCGACAGGCATGGTGCCACCCACCTGCTAGGCTGGGGACACAACAGTCCAGGTCCTCAAGAAGCTCCCCTTGTCCTGGCAGAGCCAGACACCCAGACAATTACATGACAATAGCCCACTGTGAGAAGAACATTGGTGAGAACCCAAACCGAACACAACCATTAAATTACAGATTAGTGGGAAGAGGGTACCACTGAGAGCTGAACTCCTGTACCTCCAGGGCCCTGGGGGCTGGTTTCTCATGGAACACAAGAGCCCCCTGGGGCAGGTGACCTTAGCTCCATATTCTTAGTGACACCCAAGGTCACCAGGAGAGTGAGGGGCACAGCTGGAATTTGAACTCCGGTTGCTCCAATTTCATGCTCCTTTTATATTGAGCAACACCTCTCGTACCATTCTTTAATTAGAGCCTTTCCTGACTCCCTGAACTGAATGTTACTTATTTGTACCTCTCTCTAGGCAACTGTCTTGGCCTGGAAGCACTGTCATTCATGTACTCGTCCATTTTACAGGACTGTAACCTTCAAAGGCAGGAATGGCATTTCTTTACGTGTTTTGTGTGTATATAATTTTTAAGATAAGGTGTGCCTCTCTGATGAGCTGATATGAGGCAGACACCTGAACAAAATGAGAGCAATCCTTGAGGATGATGGGGGACAGGAGACTGGGATGGGGGATATTCCAGGCAGAGGGCACAGCAAAGGCAAAGGCTCTCCATCAAGGGGTGAGTTTGAGAAATAAAACCTCCATCTTACCCCACCTCCGCCGCTTTGTCCCCTGCCTCTGCTTTATTTTTCTTCAAGGCACTTTTCACTATTTGATGCTACATTTATGGACTTATTTGCTTACCATTCATCCCTCACCTACACTCTGAGCTTTGTGAGGACATGGACTTTGTTTTCACTGATCCTCAGAGCCTGGAAGAGATCTGCACACAGAGGAAACTCCATATATATTTGTTTAGAAACATATGAATAAATGTATAAAGCATTATATATATTTTTAAGTTGCACTTTTATTAAGTACTTATCATGTACAATCACTGAACTAAGCACTTTATATACATTACTACATTTACTTTTCATCCAAACGCCATCACAAGTGGGTATTTTTATCCTCATTTTACAGGTGGTGCAAGTGAGATTAGGAAACTTGCTTCAGATGACTCAACCAGTAAGTGGTAGAGCTGGGATGTAAGCCTAGGTCTGAGCCAAAAGCCTGTAACTTTCCAAGAATATACAATGCGGGAAAGATAATCTCTTTAATAAATGGTGTTGGAAAAAAACTGGACAGCTACATACAAAAGAAAGTGGACCAACTTCTTCCATCATGCACAAAAATAAACTCAAAATGGATTATAAACATATACATGAGACCTGAAACGATGAAACTCCTAAAAGAAAACATAAGCACTAATCTCTTTGACATCAGCCTTAGCAACATATTTAGGGATGTGTCTCCTCAGGCAAGGAAAACAAAAGCAAAAATAAACTATTGGGACTACAGCAAAATAAAAAGGTGTTGCACAATGAAGCAAACCATCAACAAAATGAAAAGACAACCTAACAAATGGAAGAAGGTATTTGCAGGTGACATATCCAAAAAGAGTTAGTATCCAAAATATATAAAGAACCTCAACTCAGCACCAAAAAAACAAATAATCTGATTTAAAAATAGGCAGGGGACCTGAATAGACACTTTTTCAAAGAAGACATACAAATGGTCAACAGATAAATGAAAAGACGCTTAACATCACTCATCATCAGGGAAATGCAAATCAAAACCACAATGAGCTATCACCTTGCACTTGTCAGAATGGCTAGTATCAAAAAGACAAAAAGTAACAGGTGTTGGTAAGGATGTGGAGGAAAGGGAACCTTTGTGCACTGTTGGTGGGTATGCAAACTGATGCAACCACTGTGGAAAACAGTTTGGAGGTTCCCCCCAAAATTAAAAATGTCATACGATTCAGTAATTCCACTACCGGGTATCTACCCAAAGAAAATGAAAATAGTAATTCAAAAAGATGTATGTACTCCTATGCTTATTTTAGTATTATTTACAGTAGCCAAGATATGGAAACAACCCAGGAGTCGAACAAGAGACAAAAGTTGTGGTGTATGTGTATTTATATATGTATATGTGTATACACAAGTGTGCATGCACGAGCACATGCACAGTGGAATTATCATTCAGCCATAAAAAAGGAATGAGATCTGGGCGCCTGTATGGCTCAGTTGGTTAAGCGACTGCCTTCACTCAGGTCATGATCCTGGAGTCCCGGGATCGAGTCCCGCATCGGGCTCCCTGCTCGGCAGGGAGTCTGCTTTGCCCTCTGACCCTATCCCCTCTC